TGCATTCATCCCAAATAATGTTTTTTTATTCTTTCATCAATTTCGCTGTCGCTGAATTCTTGCTCATCGTGCACGTTGGCTGGTCAACCGTCAGAAGATTCATGGGTATCTTCAAAGCGGAATGTGCAGTTCATATAATTTTCCTACAAACCTCCGGGGTTTATTAACATTTCATTTTTGGTGTTTATAATAATTCCCGTTCACTTCGCGTGTGCATGCTACTTTTCTATTTGTGCTGTTTAATTCAATTTAAAAAACATTTTAGTTGGGGCTGCTATGGTTGCTTTGCATTTTTTTTTTTGCCTTCCCTTTTGTGCCTATTGCGTTTGTCGTTGTTTGCGTCGTCATGACAGCTAAAAACGGTTTTAGTTAGTGCTTATCTCACGCTCTCCCGCTCTTCCAGAGCCGCTGCACTTAATCCCTTGCGTTCTCTCTTAAATAGCGAAGGTACAGTGGTAAGTCTTTAAAATGTCTGCCAAGTGCATTGGTGTTGTTGCACGAACTGTAGATGACGTGGCCAAAAATATCGGCGTACGTTACTGCTGTGAGGCCTGCCGCGAAGTGGAGAGGGAAATGATGTCTTTCTTGCCGCAAACCAAGGGCGGTGTCTTAAAGAGCTGTTATAAAGTTTTCGCAAAACTCAAGATATGCTCTTGGCGCTGGACACTGAGTTTAATAGTCTCAAGCTTTTAAATGAGTCTCATAGGCGCAAAAAAACCGCACCTGGTGTGCAGCATCAAGGCAGATCCCAACCACCAGTGACAGGCTCTCAACAGCAGCCGACACAGCCCTCGACTTCAGAAAAAAATTCCAAGAATCCTGAGATCGAGTGCTAGGAAAGACTCGGTATCCGAATGTGTCGCGGGTGAGACCGTGCCCCCGGTGTTACCCATTTCCGTGTTGTCCCCTGGGGGGTCCCAACAGTTGTCCTCGCAGAGCCCTAGTCCAAATCCCTGCCAGGGTGTCAGGCCCGGACTTCCGGCCGAAATTAGTAAGGTGGGTCAGTCTGCCTTGCCAAAACCCCGTATGGCAATTCCACCAACGAAACAATTATTTGTTTCTCGTCTTTTATCCAAAGCAAAGTAAAAGCAAATAGAGAAAAAATGAAGGTGGAAAAATTTAAATTTTCTTACCCTAGGAACATTTCTTCTTTCAAGATAAATGTTCCTGACGAAGTCTTTGGCATACTATGCTCTACCCAAACCTGGCCTCAGCATGTGGTTGTCAAAGAGTTCGAAGGTAAGAAAAAGAAAAAACGGCCAGTAGGAATTACTCTTCATAGGCCCGATTTGCCCAGTGCCCCTTCTACGTCTGTCAATTCCGTCCCAAAAAACTAACCAACTTCCTTGGTATCTCCTATCAGAATGCAAGAGGCTTACGCAGTAAGCTTCCTAAATTGTATTCTGACAGTGTTTTCGTAAACGAAAGATTTTTTCGATTTGAAATACGGGCCCCTTTTTCTGGCCGGAATAAAAAGTAAATGGCTTTTTTTTATATGAAATCAGATCTTATTTACAAAAGGAAAAAAATAGTTTACTCAATGGTCTATTGCTGTTTATTCCACACCACCACAAGATCATTCTGGCACGTAGTTATTTTTAAAAAAATTTATTTCTGACCCCATCTCAGATTTGACAACAAAATTTTTGCCGTGTTCAACCAGTTTTCTCGTTTTGGCGATAGGTCGATAAGTTCACCGCAAAAAGTTATCGCCAAGGTTGCCATATTGTTGGTGGAACGAAACAGCCAGTTAAAAATACTTATAAAATATAAATGAATCCATTAATAACTTTAAAGGACCGCCAAAATGGTTGTTTATAAATAATGCTATTTATTGTGATTACTTAAATGGTCCAAATTAACCAAATAATTATTTGAGACCATCGGAATTAAAACTGTGAAAAGTGTGGCAGCATCTTAGATGCCTAGATTTACTTAACTCTAGCCTTTTTTGCTTTTTTCTGGCTTAGAAAAAGGGCAATTGTAAATATAATAAATAGGCAGTACTTTACGTTGTTTGCTTATTACCAAAAACACAAGTTATAGGGTCTTCCCACACAACGTCAAAGCACATTCACCGTCCGTTGAACAAACGGTGCATAATTTGCCATCCTTACGAAAGTGTATACAGTGTGCTTGGCGAGGAACAAATGAGATATGAAATTTAAAATGTGGCGCCAAAGCTACAAGCATGCCCAAAATAGTTGTTCGCGTTTTTTCTGTATATTCTTGCCCCAATATGTCCCCAAATGTTACTAATTAATATAAACCGCCTGCCTCTACCTTATTTTAAAGATTTTGGATGCCTATACCACCTATAGACACTCTTCGGGGAATTTGCTCTAACAAAGAGCAAAAATCATTAGAAAAATTAAAATTCCTTGTCATTTAATTCATTTAAATTTAGTGCGGATAATTTCTGACGCAATCTGTGTCTTTTGCTGTTGTACAACAGCCAAAATAGTTGGTAAATGCTCCATTTCAAATTTGCAATTGCCAATTCGACAGTCTTTGTTTACGTTTTCATAAGCCACAGCTGATCGATCAGCTGTTCGAATGGTGAATGTGCTTTGACGGTGTGTGGGAGCACGAGTTTCACTTTTTTTAAAAATCCCAAACGTTCTTCACAAATGCGCTGTGTGGGAAGACAGTATTAAGGGAGTAAGGTATTTAATTTTTTTTTTCGTAAATTTTGTTTTATTTTTTATTTTAAAGACTCAATGTCTTAAGATCATCGATCATAGGAAAATTAACGAAATTATGCCGAGCTGAACGAAGGTTGGTTAGTGTTCAATGCATGAGAATCACAAAGTTTAAAGTGCTCTCCTGAAAAATGCCATTTTGAAAATCGGTGTACACGATAACTCAAAATCTACTGAACAAATCGGTTTAAAATTTGGAACATAACTTCTTTATGTAATTCTACAGGTATTCATGTCGAGCTTTTTTTAATTTTTAATTTTATTATATTTTTTATTTAACAAATTAACTTAATTTATTAGTCAATCAAATTTTAATAAAAAATTGAGAAAATTTTTTAAAAATAAAAACGCTACCTGCGTACCTCGGGACACTTATCCTTTAACGAATGAGGTATAATTTTTTTAGATCGGATAATTCTGTGGACTGTTAGAATGTACATCGCAAGCCAACTTTTTTTTGGAGGCGACTCGGGAGATTTTTTTATAACTCCTCTACCTCTAAATATTTTTCAATATAAAAATAACAAAAATTGTTAAAATTTAGTGTTATTATTTTGTGTTTAATTCGTTAAGCTAACTTCAGACGTTTTGTCACAACATTTTTTTGTAGAGTGAGCTTTTTCCAGCGAATTAACCTTAACCGTCTATCAGCATAAGGAAGAAGGCGGCGATGTGGGTCCTAATCAAAACCCCGAAGAGCGAACAAAAGGAATTGTTTCTGTACCGATTCAATAAAGTCTTGATACTTTGTATATTGAGCGGACCATACACACGAACAAGAGATATATAATATATAGAAGTTTTGTGGTGTAGGGATCATCAAATTCCTTAGACCATCGTTTTACGAAAGCAAAAACCCATTTTGCTTTACAGACAATTATACCGATGTGATCGGTGAATCTCAAGTTGTGGGTTAATAGAACACCAAGATCCGTTACAGAATGGATATGGTAAAACGACATGTATTTACATTTAGAGTTGTTAGGAAACAACAAATTGTGAGTGCACCAAGACAACATGTTGTTCAAATCAGCTTGCAAAAGCTTAGGAGAGTCAGGATTCGCAAGAGGCGAACATAGTTTAACATCATCAGCGTCAGAGTGGAGAATAACTTGGGGCAGATCATTTATAAAAATGACAAATAGAAGAGGATTTTCTAGGAATTGGGTCTGATATCTCCAGCGCTCGCTTTATAGCCCAGATACTGCGTAGTAGGTTAGAGAAACCCACATTTGCATTTTTTGAATGCGCAGAGTAGTTAATACTATAGCATATTCAAAAGCAAGACGAACGAATGATGTACGTATAATAAGCGGCTGTTCCGCTGCCTCTGTCGTTCTTGTACTCGTGATGTATCTATGTTTCGTTCTCGTGCCGATCTTCTTTTCGTAATATTCAGTCGCAGACTTTCGTTACAATGTTTTTGAGATTCTTGTGCACGTCCTTCTGCTGTCCTAATTCTTTGAGCTGTATTTCGTTTTGCGATTTGTTCTACCAATTGATGAGCTCTTTCAGAACTTCTGCGCTGTACCTCTCTGCTCCTCACGTTGTTGAGGTTCGATTTTTTCGCTGACATTTGACTGAAAATGACAATTTAATCGTCTAAATATTAGAAAATATTGTCTCAACCGATCCGTCTCTCGCACCAATAACTGCTCTTCCTCAGTCCTATTCGAAATGATGCACAGTAGCGCCGTTGCAGTAAAGCTGTTGCAAAAATAGGGAAATTCATAATCGCAAAATCAGTAAGCCATACAAATAAATACAGAGAATTTCCCAATTATAATGAATATGTATTAATTTTTTTTTCAGTGTTCATAATATTTTTATTTGAATTAATAAACAGAAAAAAAAATTAATAAACTATTGTTTTTATAAATTAGTTTTCAAAATGTATATTTTTACTGTGATACCCTTTAAAAAGCGAATTTGGGGTGTGGTTCATTATGCAGTACATATATAAATTTTACAACAATTACTTGTCAAATGCCATTTAGATGTTTTTATTACGCTAACCGTGATTGTGCGCCGGGAGAAATTAGTAACCTATATTAGCAAATACGATGCATTGAAAAGTACTTTTTTTTGATTCAGATCGTCCCGCATATCAGAAAGCCTATGCGTCGCAATTGCAGGCGCAGCCTAGAGCAGCCGCTCGTATGTTGATATATGTGTATATTTTAAATAACATCAAAACCAAAATAATTGTATATTCAAATATGTGCTCGTGTTCGTCAAAGAAACCCTGAAAAAGAAGATAATAACTTTATTGAAAATATTTACTTTTTTTCTTTAAAGGCGGTGATTAAAAAAACCCGTATAACCTGCAAGTGCCATGGAGTCTCTGGATCATGCAGCTTAATTACTTGCTGGCAACAATTGTCTTCTATAAGAGAAATAGGTAAGTTCATATTTAAATTTTCCAAATCGGTTCGAAGGAAAATACATAGAACTGCTCAGTTAAAATTGGTTAATTTATATTAAAATGTAAGAAATTTAGCAAAGCATTTGTGATTTTTTTTTTATTTAGGCTACTATGCTTTATTGTTCACATTAACTCCTTTATTGTTACGCGTTGCAAGATGCGAGGGAAAGAGAAAACCTCGAAAATCGACATGCGGGTTCCAGCTTAGATTCACGGTAGAGTACCAAGAAAATGAGTGATATCTAGCAAGTGGTCTGATGATTTGGGTAGCGCGACATCGTAACCACTTGTCTATTGAATGCGGGTTTCGAGATCCTTGAATATCAAGGTGTTTTTATATATGCATTTAGCTGCCAGACAATTTGTGCACTGTTCTTCAGGATAACATAATTGATTCAGAGTGTATTTTTTCCGGACATACAGAATAATTACTTGAATAATAACTGGCTTAGTCATTGGGCGATTTTAAAAGCCAAAAATGTTGTTATTGACGAAATTAACTTCCAGATACAACAATTGTTACCAGGCAATCTGATTTCTATTACATTTTACAACTTAATTTTTAAATTCACTACCTGGAATGCCACCACAAAATCTTCGATTAAAGATTGGTTCCCCTATTATTCTCCTACGTAATTTGAATCCATCTCAATTATGCAACGGTACGCGTTTGGTCATCAAAAAGATCACCGGAAATATACTTGAAGCAACCATTTTAACTGGGAAGTTTAAAGGAACAGTGGTCCTGTTGCCACGTATGCCACGATATCGTCAGATTCTACCATACCCTTCAAAAGGCTACAGTTTCCAATTCGTTTATCTTTCGCCAAATGTCTATTTGTGGCTTACATTTGGAAAATCTGTGTTTTTCTTATGGGCAACTATATGTTGCATCTATTAGTGTTAGCTAAAGACAGGTTAACCAAAAATGTTGTGCACCAATTACAATTACACTACATCAAATTGAAATTAAAAGTATTTATAATTTAAAAAAAATATTACTGTTAAAGATTTAGTTTTTTCTGGCTTAGCTACCTCATTCATAAGTTTAAGTGTCACATGTCGCGATTCCACAGATATTAACGCGTTTAAAAGCTACCTAGAAGAAGCCATAAGCCTAGATATTTCGTTAAAAACAGGAGAGGAACTAGACTATGCTGTGGAGCTTTTTACAAATACAATTCACAAAGCAAGCTACATAAATACGAATCACACTCGCAGAAATCAACAACCAAACCAAAAGGAACATAGTCACTCGCAAAAGCAATGGGACTTGGTGTAAATCTGATGATGAACAAGCTGAAGCATTTGCAGAACACTTGCACTTTGTGTTCCAGCCAAACGACATAAACAATACTATAACAGAGTCTGAAGTGCAAAACTTTCTTGAGTCACCCTGTCAAATGAGCTTGACATTTCCAATTAATGAAGTCGTTACTGAAATTAAATGCTTAAACAACAAAAAATCACCAGGCCCGGATAAGATAGACGCCATCACTCTAAAACCTCTTCCACCAAAATGCATACGGTTTCTCACTCTGGTATTCAACGCTATTCTCAGGCTGGACCAGTTCCCAAGTCAATAGAAATGTGCAGAAATAATTATGATCCTGAAGCCAAACAAGACAGAAATTGAACTTTCATCTTACCTTCCCATTAGTCTGTTGACAATATTCTCGAAAGTATTTGCAAAAATACTACTGAAGAGGATGTTGCCAATTTTGGACGAACTTACCATCATGCCTGAATATCAATTCGGCCACGGGACTACTGAGCAATGTCATAGGGTTATCAATGAAATTGTTACCGCATTTGAGACCAAAAAATACTGTACTGCCACATTTCTTGATGTTCAACAAGCGTTTGATCGTGTTTGGCACAATGGATTACTCTATAAGATAAAGAAATGGCTACCTGCACCATACTATTTACTACTGAGATCCTATTTGTCCAAAAGATGCTTCTACGTTCAGCAGAGAAGTGACGCGTCATCACTACTTCTCATAAACGCAGGCCTCAACCAGTCCTTTACACCTTATATACGGCAGGTGTGCCAGTAACCAACCACTGCACCGTTGCAACATACGTTGACGATACAGAAATTCTGGCAACAAGCTCATCTAGAGATGAATCATCTCACCTCTTGCAATGTGAGCTCAATCTGATTGAAGCCTGGTTTCTTCGCTGAAAATTAAAATCAACTCCTCGAAATCTGTCCAAACCAGGAAACTGCCCAAATGTCATACTGAACGGTTCAGCAATTCCACAAGATACCTGTGTGAAGTACCTTGGCATGCACCTCGACCGCAGATTAACATGGAAACACCACATTAAAGCGAAAAGTCAACATCTCAGACTGAAAATACTAAAAATGTCCTGGTTGCTAAGTCGAAAATCATCAGCCACTTTGGAAAATAAAGTTCTCCTCTACAAAGCTATTTTGAAGCCTGTTTGGACCTACGCTATACAGCTCTGGGGTACAGCCAGCAATTCAAACATTGAAATTCTGCAGCGCTACCAATCAAAAACATTGCGTCAAATTGTTAACGCTCCATTTTATGTATCAAATGCAAACATACACAAAGATCTAAATATACCAACAATAAGAGCAGAAATTAAAAAATATAGTATATCATGAAAATAATTTAGCCATAGGTCTAGTACACAATAGCCTAACAGTAAGAAGACTCAAAAGATTTCTCCCTGATAGGTAAACATATGTACCATAAACGATAAAATAGATTAAGTAGTAGGTTTCACTGGAAATCTACTATTCCTGTTATGTAAATATTAGTTACAAAATGTACCTATTGTCACAAGACAGATTGTAAATAAAATATGAAGAAAAAAAAACATCTTATTAAGAACTTTGTAATATACTCATTCGTTAGCCACAGCAAGGCGTGGCCGGGTCTTCTAGTATATAAATATACAGGCCTGTTCTAGTTTCCACTCGGAAGTGAATTTGATAACATTTGCGGATTTCCCTTTAACATTAGCGAATTTCCCTTGGTGATTTAAGAATATTTCTTTTAATTTCTCTTAAATTCCCTTAAATAAAAATCAGCTGGTCGCTTTCAACAAAAGAGTTTGCCTTGTCTAAGATTTGATAAAATTACTTTTGTCTTGCTTAACCAAAACGATTCTAAACTTTACATTAATTGAATACAAAAGTATGCTGCTTAAGCAACTATTAAAGAATTTAAAACTACAAATTTAGCACATTGGCTTCAAATCCCTAAACAAAGAATATGATCTGCAGCACACGTCCAAATCGATTGTCGGCAGCTCTGCACACGTCGATGCCACCTTGCGGCATTCTTCTTCAAGTCTCCTGATCAATTCACCGCATACGAAGGGTTCGGCGTGTTCGCATGCCAGACGGCAGGTCTGCTCTCCTTAATTCATTCCGCTCTGGGACATGGTGCCGCACGTGGCCCGTGCGCGCAAAGTGTTGGCTAGCGTCACCTCACATTCGTCTCTTCCTCCTAATTGCGGCAGCAAAACCAACGGTCACTCAATCGTTGCTGCTTCTGCAGGAGCTCGCAGCTCCTTCTCCTCCTCCTCGCATTCCTTAGGGTAGCCTAACCCGCATGGGTACTCCGACGCCACGCCTGGGATGGGTTGGCTGATTGGGAACGGCAGGCCGAATTAAGGTTAAATCCTAACCTCTATGTGGCATACGGTTGTCGCGGCCGAAGTGTCGCTCAAAATTGAGGTTATATACGATTGGTGTTGGGCGTGCTCACGCGCACGTCGATTCCAACCTCAACATGTGGCAATCAGCACGCGCCACGTCCAAAAATACGGCGGTATTCACTGATTTTGGCCAGCAACCTCCACAACCACCACCACCAGCCGGTGACCAACACGCCGCTTATTACGCCGCTTATATCGTAATATCGCCGCTCTGGCGCTGAAGTTGCCGGCCGGCGTATGTTCCGTCTCTTTCCTACACAAAAATATGCACTTAAACACTGTCTTTTTCGTTTGCACTTTTCACTGGAATATTTACCCCTTGTGCTGGGTTCGATCCTCCGAATCTCCTTCTGCACTTGCGGACTTCTTTTCCTCGGCCAGAAAACACTGTAATTTCGACCACGAGGTATACAAATTTTCCACTTTGAAATGAGCGAGAACTCTGACTCGAGAAGTTAGCTGTACGCAGTTGCGGCGTTGCCAAACTTCACCTAACGGTGTGCTTCCAGTCGCTCTTCTTCTTTTCCGTCTTCACACGCATTCGGTGCACACGAGAAAGGGTTGTCGCTATGCTGGTAGGCTGTATGCGGGAGCAGATCAGATAAACTTCTCTCGACGCTCTCCGCTATACTCTACGTTTTGCTTGTGAGCATATGCGAATTCAAATGTGATTTGCTTTTTCGCAATGTTTACAAATTAATTTCCTTATTTCTCATATATTTTATTTTCGGTTTGTGACTGGCTACCACAAATGGCAAATGTTAATTGTATTTTATACTTTAAGGTTTTAGGATCATTATTTATTTTCAGCCGTAAATGCTTATTCCTTCAATTATATTAATTAAATTAGTGCATCAGTACTATCTATGAGTTTGAGACTACAGCGGGCCAAAATTTAATCAGCCCCTTATTAGCAAATCTTAGACAAAGCAAACCCTTATGTTGAGAGCGGCCAGCAGAAATTATTTGGTAATTTTAGGGAAATTCAATTTAGTTTAATGATTTTCTGGAATTAAAATTTGTTTTGATTCTAATGCGAATTTCAATATTTTGAAATTTGGTTTAGACTATGCTATTTTTTAAATTTGATCAATGGGACAATTTCTTAATGTTAATATATTGAATACAATCAGGCCTGTTCTAGTTTCCACTTCCGCAAAATTTATTCGGATTCGGATTTCCCTGACCTGTTCTAGTGTTCACTTCCGAAAAATTTTTACGGATTCGTATTTCCCTCTGTTAAGTCTCTGTTAATTTGCAGACGAAACGCACGGAAA